TCATTGTAGTAAAGGCGGCGTTGGGCGCGACTGCTCCCAAACCGATGAGAGAGCCTAAACCGGTTGTGTATAGAATGGCATCTTTGAAAGTAGCCCTAAAATAGTCGGCCGGAAGTAGCGCTTTTGGTGGCGCTTTCGCCAGTTTTGTCTCTTGAGGTGCGGCGGCTGCCGGAACCTCCTTAGGTCGTGGCGGAGGCCATAATAGTTTGCCCTCATTTAGTATAATAGCCCCGCGAACCACCTCATCGTTCAAATCAATGAAAAAGTTATCCTTTTCTGTCATCGAAAGGAAGAATTTGCTGATATTATTGGCGTAAAGAGTGGACGACTGCGTGGGTAGTCTTGAGGGCAGATCTGTGTAACCAATATGTATGACATCTTTGTAGGTATAGATTTCTCCCGGTTTTGTGGTCTCTATATTTCCGCCTTAATTACAAACATAAATACAATTAATAAAAACAATCTTATATAATAATATGATAATAATTTAAATACCAGTTTCGGCCGCGAGATCCACGACAACAGATCCGGGTTTCATACTCTCAATCATTTTCTTAGTGATAAGAGTGGGCGCCTTTTTGCCGGGAATTAAAGCGGTTGTGATCACAATATCTACTTCTTCGCACTGTTTGGCAAATAACTTCATTTCCGCTTCAATGAACTCTTTGGACATCTCCTTCGCATAACCGCCCACTCCTTCGCCCGACTCCTTGAAGTCAACCTCCAAGAACTCGGCGCCCAATGACTCGATCTGTTCTTTGACAGCAGCTCTGGTGTCAAACCCCCTCACAATGGCGCCCATATTTTTAGCGGTGCCGATGGCCGACAGTCCAGCCACTCCACCGCCAATCACCAGTACCTTCGCGGGCGGCACTTTACCCGCCGCTGTGATCTGACCCGTAAAAAATCGGCCGAAATGGTTGGCCGCCTCCACAACGGCTTTGTATCTAAAAAAGACAAAATAAGTTATTTTTCGCAATTCAAGTCACAATAAGATCAAATACCCGGCGA